AAATCATAATCGTTCCTTCCGACAAGGCCAACAGGAGCGCTTACGACTTCGGGGTTTCGAAGAGTTGAGGGACAGATAAAATGATTTAATAAAGAATTTCTCTAAAGAAAGTAGATCAGATTCAAATGGTACGAAGATAGTAATAACAACATAGTCGTTAAGGTCGATGTGCCTGAGCCAACGATATATATTACGATTAGAACTAATCCTACCACCAATCGAAGAACCAAAATCTTCCTTCTGCCTAACGTTGATCGATCTAGATGTCAATATACACGTGGCGATACCAGGGCGAGAAAATGGCGTAGACGAGAGGACCTGGACAGTGAAAGAAATCATAATTAGACTTAATCAACAGGGAAAGAAGGTTGCGAAACTTGTTACCCTGCCTTATTGCTTTAGCACTAATTAATAGAATAACGACGAGACGAAAAGTATACGAGACTTGATCAAAAGGAACTTAAAGGAAGTGATCCACGAAAGTCACAACATAACAAAGCAGCAAATCTTCGCAGCAGATCATCGAACAAAAATATATGAGACCTGATCATAAGGAAGTGATCCATGAAAGTCACAACACAACAAAGCACCTGATCATGAGATTCAACCTCCACGATGTTCATCGCGGTTTTCAAATTCATTGGTGTGGTCCTTTTCGCAGCAGATCTTCAAACAGAGAGACGGTACTTATTAGCTCCTGCTTTTGCCAAACGATCTTTGAGCGCATCGGCCTGTTTCGAATTACGTAATCTAGGAGTCGTGGATCAATGTGTAAAGCAAATGAAATTCTTCGGAAGTTGGAAAACTCTACTATAACAAACACCTGGTATTGGAACGAACAAGCCATTCAAAGAATTTGAAAGAAATGGCCGTACCTTGGATATAGGTTGTGCATTGGGGATTAGCCAACCAAAGTCTATTGTTTATCTCTTCAAAAAAATTAGAATGGTCTCTTGCTATGAAACCGCGCGTTCATTGAACGCGGGTTTTGCGTTCAGAAACTGAACGCTTTGAACACACGTTCTCAACTTGAACGGGTTTGCGGTTACTCTAAAGAAACAGAAAATAAACAACGAAAAAGAAAGAAAAGGAAAAAAAAAAATTACCTGCATCTAAGTGTGTTCACTGTGTTGTCATATTCGCTGTACACTTAAAAAAAAGCATGACTGTGCCAGACTGTTTCGACGGAGTTTCACCGAGTCTGTGTATGTGTGTGTGTGTGTGTGTGTGTGTGTGTGTGTGTGCGTGTGTGTGTGTGTGTGTGTGTGTGTGTGTGTGTGTGTGTGTGTGTAGAAGAGCAAGCTCCTGTGTGTGTGGGGTCGTGCGCATTAGCGTGCAGTTCACAGAGACACACACCCACAGGATCACACATACACACAAGCTTTTTTTTTTTTTGGCCCGCCACGACTTCGTCTGCCTCCTCATCTTCTTCTTCTTCATCTTCCTCTTCTTCTTCGCCGTCCTCCCTGTCCTTCTCCTCCTCCTCCTCCTCCTCCTCCTCCTCCTCCTCCGAGAATGTGCCACGTGGCACTTGATGTTTTTTTTTTTTGGACTCGCCATAACTCCCCTCTTCTCTTCCTCCTCATCTTCTTCTTCCTTGTCCTCCTCGTCCTCCTTCTCCTCCTCCTCTTCTTTCTCGTCCTCCTCTTCCACCTCATCTTTCTACTCCTCCAATCTATGCTGCTCCCCCATCGCCACTGCTGGCCCCAACGCCACAGCCGCTGCCTATGACGTCGGTAGCGCTGGCCCCAACGCCGCCGCTGCTGCCCCCGACGCCGTGGCCAATGCTGCTCCCCCCTTCGTCACCGCTGCAGGTTTTTTTTTTTTCTTTTTTCCCTTTGTATTTGTTTTCCAACCAGTCAATCAATCAATCAATCAATCAATCAATCAATCAATCAATCAATCAAGCAAGCAAGCAAGCAAGCAATCAAGCAATCAACTACTCAATCCACACACACACTTTTTTTTTTTTTTTTTTTTTTTTAACTGTTCGCGCCCCACAGTGGCTTCTGACACGTGCACCTGGGTGGGGGGGGCACGTTATGTTTTCTCCCACTGTATGACACGTGGCACTATTGAACGTGTTTGAACGCATGCAAGCTCGCTTTGAACGCGTGCGTTTGAACGTGAACGCGCGTTCGACCCGTTCAAACGGCTACATAGGTCTCTTGAATGGTCACGGGTTGATCTTTCAGAATCTCCAGGACTTTGGTTCCTTCTGTAGCAAAGAGCAGAAGTATGCTGTAATTTTTTCCTTTTTGCACAGAGCGTACGTTATGGTCACATTACCAGCCTAATACCAGGTACTGAGGCAGGGTTGTTTACAGTTTGAAGGTTGAATTAAGGCACATGAACTTTCCAGACTTCTATTTTGACAAGTCACTGGTCATTTTCAACAGTAAGGTCGACGAGGCTTTGGCCCCCTGGGTGTATTGCTTTACCGGATGGAAAAACAGGTAGTTCCCTTTTTCATCCCAATTGTTCTGCCTCCATAGTCCTCGACACCAGGTCTCTTTTTCTCGTTTTTGTAGTATGTAAGTACTTTAGGCTCAGACCCCACCGCCCGGCGGCTGGAAAAGGGAAGTGGCCGCGAAAAGCTGGCTACCGTCCCTGGAAAGTTTTTGACAGTTTTGGAAGCGACCACACCGCCAAGTGCTGGCGGTGTTTTGGAAGCGGGCTGGCTTTCCGCAATAGGAAACCCAGTAGGGGCCCGTCCCGAAAAGGAAAGTGCGGACGGCCTGCATGGACCAGCCGACATGTCCTCGCGTATGGATTGTCCATTGGGGGGGTTGCGGCGCATGCCGTTCACGCCAGCGAGCGACGAAGTGCGGAGTCCCAGTGCGACGTCCCAAACAGAAGGAGGTTCCGGATGCAGCAACGACCATTTTTGTTCGTGCCATTGCCGGTCACCTGCCCAGGTGAGATTGAAACGGACGTTGGGTCTGTGGGTATGTTGTCGGCCCTGTTCTCTCTGCAGTCGTTGGCACCCGGGGGAGATTGCAGCGCACCTGCCCGTGGCACTCGCCATTCCCCTGCGGACAGTGGGGTTCCATAGCTGACGGAGACGGTTGCTGTGGACGCGTCACACGTTGTGCCCGGATGGAAGCCATGGATGCGTCAGGAGGAGGTGTGTGGCATCCTCACAGCGAGGATGCACTGGTCATGCTGGTTCTCTTCCTGTTCCAGTGGGTGAACAGACGGAACGCGGCAGCGTTGGCGGTTGTGGAGGCAGTATCGGTGATGCCTTTCCTCCACCAAAATGTCTCTGCTGCGGTGACACTCCTGGCGGGGGGGATCTTGCACGGTTTTGCGTTGGGTTCGTTGGCTGTGGAGGAGATGGGGAGGACAATGGACCGCAGACGTCGTCTGTGGGTGTTGGAGCGCAGCGGCGGTGTGTGGAAGGACCTCCAACGAGTGGGGGGTGAGCACGACAAGGTATTCGTGCGGTTTTGCAGACTCCCATGGCCGTTGTTCTTCGAAGTTCTCGCTCTCATCAGCCCGCACATCCAGCGCTCGACCACGAACTTCAGACAACCAATACACGCCGGACAGAAGTTTGCATGTGCTCTGATGAGATGGGCAACTGGCGGATATTACAGGCAGTCCTCCCACAGTTTGGGCATGGGCCTCGCGAGTGCTTTGCGCAGCAACGAGGACGTGGCGAACGCCCTAATCCGGGAGTACGGCCACCCGCTATGCTTCCCTACAGGACAACGACTGGATGACGTGCAGAACGGCTTCGAGCGAAAAGGGTTCCCCAGGTGTGTGGGCGCAATAGATTGCACCCATCTATATATAGAGAAGCCGAAGGGAGAGCGATCGGAGTGCTATTATCACCACACCGGGGGGTTTTCGGTTGTTGCACAAGTCGTGTGCGACCACGAGTGTCGGATTTGCAGCGTTTATGTGGGATGCCCGGGGTCTGTGCATGATTCCAAAGCTGTGCGCATGTCACCACTCTACGTACAGACTACGTCGGGTACAGGAGTGCTGGCTGAGGGGGGTGCCATGCTACACGACGGTAGACATATTGGGCGGTATCTGCTTGGTGATCAAGGGTACCCCCTTCTCCCTTGGCTCATGACTCCTTTCGGATGGTTTGTTGTGACGTCAGCGGATCGTGCCTTCGACGTGAGTCACAGTGCAGCAAGGTCGTGCATCGAGCGGACATTCGGCCGTTCGAAGGCGGTATGGAGGAACTTCATTCGCAGACACATTTGCAACTTGAAGACCGTCTGCAAAGAGTTCATAACCGTGTGCATTCTTCATAACCTCACGATTGACCACGGCGTGGAGATCGACCCGGCGTTGATGGAAGACAGCAGTGACAGCGATGGAGACGATCACCATCACCGGGACCGTAGGCGACGCAGGCGCCGCTGCAGGTTCAACCGCCATATGGCGGACTTGAACATCGAGGCTGCGCCGGAGGATGACCCTACTTATGGGGGGGATCTCGCCAAACACGTCAGGGCAACCCTAGTTGAGCACGTGCGGCACCACACTGCAGTCTACGGAGCTCCGGCGCCATGCCCGTGGCGGTAGTGGTGTTCTGTCGACGCAAAAGTCGCACGTGCTCAACTAGGCTGATGCTGATGGTAGATCATCCACATCATTTGGGGAGATGGCGATAGGGTCGAAGAAGAGCTTGCTGTAGCTGATGGTTGATCATCCACAGCGGTGTGGTCGTAGAGAAGTCGTGTGTGTATCATTTACGTCGTTCGTAGATCCTGTCGGGTTGATAGGAGCGTAGTCTTCGTTAGACGCACCGGAAGATTGTGTCCGGGACGGGGGGTTTTAAAAACCTGTCGGTGCAAATTTCGTGCTCGTTGTGCTTCGTAATTATATTTGGTAAACACTTTTGTTGGTTGTTTTCTTTCGCAGTTGGTCATGATGTTTGTCCATTTCGTCATTTAATATTTGTTCAGCCATGCATATGAACACATATATCAAAGCATTTGATGTCAGTCAACACAGAGAGGGTAGAGCATTCCTTTGATCTCATAATGTAATCTTTGTTCACCCATGCACAGAAAGCATATGAATTCAAGCAATTAATGTTGCGAAATGTATAATTGGAAATGATATACCACCCATGCATATGAACATACGAACATATTAATTCACCCATGCATGTAAAGATTTGAACACATATCTTTACAGAAAGCGGGAGACAAGTTTCCACCAATAACATCCGGACGTGGAAAGTTTTTGGCACACACGATGATCATTCCTTGGACGACCATGAACAACCGAATGTAAAATTCCCGACAAAAGCCTTCAACACACCCAATGAGAACATGAAATCGGAGCACAATAGCAGCACGGTGTCCGGGTAAAGACGCCGCCTAGCAATTGGTTTAAGGGCGAAACACACAAAATAGCGACGACGGCTACAAACACAAACATGCACGTAACCCAAACAAACATAAAAAAAAAAAAACAACAACAACAACCGGTACGCAGAATCCGAAACGGGTTACAAAAACCACCGACTCCTTTACGAGTTCGTTTATATACGTAACGGAATGACTTCAAAATTCGTCGATACTTGTGCCGTTGGGACGATTCACCTGAGTGGACGGCATCATCACCATTATCACCATCATCACCATCATCACCATCATCACCATCATCCTCGTCATCATCATCGTCGGGGACATCATCGCCATCATCATCGTCGGGGACATCATCGCCATCATCATCATCATCATCATCATCATCATCATCATCATCATCATCATCATCATCATTTCCATCATCATCAACATCACCATCAACGTCATCATCGCCACCATCATCATCGCCATCACCAACGTCATCATCGTCATCATCGTCACCATCGTCATCATCATCATAATCATCATCATCATCATCATCATCTCCATCGTCACCATCAACATCATCACCATCATCAGCATCACGACGTCACCAGCGCCCCCATCGTCATCAACAGCAGCAGCATCATCATTATCAACATCTCTCTCTCTCTCTCTCTCTCTCTCTCTCTCTCTCTCTCTCTCTCGCTCTCTCTCGTCAACCACAAACGAACGAACGGACTCCAGCGAACCCGAAACACACAGAAGACGGGCATTCATGGCGCTTCGGTTGTACACGTCCTCTGTCTTCGGTCGGTGTGACAAGCGTCGCCGATTCAAGGCCTCACTTCCCCGTGCAGATACGGCCTGCCCACCAACGGCGGATCAAGAGTGCACCTCCAAAACGGGAGCGGATCCAGGCGGCCTGCGTACAGGTCGGCAAGCGTGGAGATGTAAAGAAGCACGATCTCCCCCGCCAGATCAACGGGATGGCTGCCCCACTCGTTCGGGATCACATCCCCGACCTTCGTGACGAAGATGAGCACATGTCCCAGTTCGTTTCCGAAGAATCCCAACCCCACCTCTATCTTCATAGAGGGGACCCCATCGACATCGACTTCATAGAAACGGATGGAGCGACGTGTCACGCCATTCGCGAACTCGAAGTCCCTCGTGTGGTACCCGTCCCGCTGGTGGATCATCTCATAGACCATAACCCCCCTGCCGTCGATCAGACCACGGCAGAAGACAAGCACATCCATCCCTCTGCGTGCCCCTCCCTCCACTCTGTCTTTGCCTCTCACCAGATCCCTCCCCTTCTCGCAAATGCGAAATGGAGCCGGCCGATTCTACGGTCACTATGCGGTGGACCGCGCACCCCCACACCCTCCACACGCCGCTATACAACCAACATCACCAGCGGAGACAATCCGTGTCGGTACGCTACTCCCTAGCCTCTGGAAAGTGCGATCACTGCCGACGAGAACCCGTTCTTTATACACGTGCCTCGGGATGGCTCGCCGGTGTGGTGCGCTGTCACAATCGACGTTTGCGGCCGTGCTCACAAAGAACAATACCAACCCCCACCTTTTCTTTTGCCGTTTTTTTTTTTGTTCCATCAATTCGTATCCCGATTGACGATTCTGTCCTCCGGTAGAAATCGAATGGCCGTGCACATGTCCCCGCCGATGGCCGTCGACCGTCGAGAGCCCCATGCATGTATATATGTACATATATACATGTATACATGTATACATGTACATATATACATGCATGAGACTCTCGATAGTCGACTGCAATCGGCGGGGACATGTGCATGGCCTGTTCGATTTCCATCGGAGGACAGATCGATATATATATATATATATATATATATATATATATATATATATATATATATATATATATATATTCTCTCTGCCTACGGTTTACCGGGTAGTTCTGTTTGTGACGATATATATATATATATATATATATATATATATATATATATATATATATATATATATATATATATATATATATATATATTTTCTCTCTGTTTTTTATTGGGGATATATTTTTGTGTATATATATATATATATATATATATATATATATATATATATATATATATATATATATATATATATATATTTATATATTTATGTTTCTCATCGAGATGAAGGGTCTGTATCCCGACCCGCTTCGGTGGAGTGACCTCCATTCGCTCCCCTGCGGGCTAGAACCCCAACTAGCAACTCTAGAACAGTGTTCCCACCCCGCATCACGTCGGCCACATCCCCTATCCGAGCGGCGATTGCGGTGCCTGCGTCTGCGGTGGCTTTGGCAAGGGAGGTGGTCGCTTTGTCCAGGCCATCACAGTACGAGCGTGTAAAATCTTCCATGACCCTTCCCATACTCGTGCCACCGCTACTGCCATCTTCCCCTCTTGCCTTCCCGGTGGCCGTCCGCCTCATTTTCGCAGAAACAGTGATTTCGTCAAAACGGACATTTTAAATTTTTTGAACGAAATTGAAATTGTTATTTTCATGTTGATTTTGATGAATTTTTTCGTTTTGAGTACACCATTTTGGGTAGGTACCTCGCATTTGTTTATAGTTCGTGCTCATGTTGACCACAAGTTTTGCATTGCTTTCTCACATATTTTGGGGGGTGTTACAGTTTCATTCGCATTATATGAAGCTATATGGGTCTTCATGATGGGTTTTATTGTACTTTTCTATTACATCGATAAACATTTACCATGTTTCGCAATATAGTATCAGTTATTTTTAATTTTTATTGACAAATGCATTAAGACAAGATAAACATATTGAATATCATACTAAAAAAACACATATGGTAGGTTCAGTCAATGACACAAAACTCCATGGACATCTATAAAAGTTAGAGACATTTCGTGTCACCCACGAATTACGAACAACATTATGTGAATGTTTTCGAAATCCATATACAAGAAAATCGACTTCTTTGGATAAATCCAAAGACACAATGATGCGGAGTTTGGCTCATGCGACATATGATATATGTGCGCGTAGGGGTCTTCATGATGGGTTTTATTGTACTTTTCTATTACATCGATTAACATTTACTATGTTTCGCAATATAATATCAGTTATTTTTTAATTTTTATTGACAAATGCATTAAGACAAGATAAACATATTGAATATCATACTAAAAAAATACATATGGTAGGTTCAGTCAATGACACAAAACTCCATGGACATCTATAAAAGTTAGAGACATTTCGTATCACCCACGAATTACGAATAACATTATGTGAATGTTTTCGAAATCCATATACAAGAAAATTGACTTCTTTAAATAAATACAAAGACACAATGATTCAGAGTTTGGCTCATGCGACATGTGATATATGTGCGCGGAAATATTTTATGTACATAGAGAGACTCTCTCTCTCTCTCTTTGACAAAGACAATGTCTATGAAAGTTGGTGCCCTAGACTTCATACACTCCTCTACACTACCAATATGTGCAGCTGCACATGATCGTACAAAAGGTGGAAATGCGCTTCGACATCGTTTTCAAAAAACTAAAATCCGGCACATGACGAAAAAAAATGATATGAGCACTCGTACGAGCGCAGGATCTACTATATTGCTATCTCCGTCTGTATGTGCTAAACTACAACTTTCTCTATAACAAGATGTCACGAAGTGCTACAGCGACGCAAGTGAACAAGGTCGTTGCTCAGACCGTTGGCTCGACGGAGTACACTCTTTGTAATGTTGAAGTAGGTTGTTAACAAAATTTTTCTGAATTTGCGTTTGACCCCTATTGTTTCTTCGCTCTTTATGATGACTGTTGAGATAGAAGCAGTGATGACAGTCCTCCGAGCAACGAATTCCAACATTGCATCCCGTGCGTGATTACAATATTGTTTAACATGCTGCTTGTACGCTCGCACCATCGAGTCTCCTGCATCACTCCGTGGGATCTTTTGTCTCCATGTCTTCGTTGCACATATTGTAAGCCCTTCGTGATATTGTACAACAACACATGCAATGGTGGCGCTGCATTTCTCTGTCACCGGGGCAGCCACAAGGCCGTAACCGTAGAAGACCTCCTTGTATCTTGCGTTCCCGTCCTTCTTGTAATTATTATTATTCTGACGATCGCACACCCCCACGAGGTTGTAAATCTTTCTTCTCGCGCTTAGAGGATACAAGTGCAGTGACGGTTCGTAATATGCAAAATCCCATGTGACAAGTCCGACGGCGTTACGCTGTCTCCTCAACCGGTCTGATATCAGTTCCCCCCATTTGATTGACGTTCCCCACCAATCTTGTCTTAACTGCCTCTGCATCCATTCTGGTCCATACTGCATAAAAAAAAGAAACCCGGGAAAAACAAAAACAAAGGCATCACAAACAAAGACGAAGTACTGAACTGTGACCGTGAGTTCACGAGTCATTGCGGAACGGCAGTCAAAGCGGACACCGACGCAAGACGGACTGCAAGTTGTTCCATTTGCCACTTTCGCGCCGTTGAATATGATCGACAATATTAAACTTTGCTATTGTGTTAGTTTTTTTCAGTTTCTGTTTTTGCCCATCTTCGTTGTGGCATGTCATTAAAGTCGTCGCCACGTGAATGATGATCCTCGACCTTTCGTTGATGAAGCGCAACATTGCATCTCTGATTTCGTTGCATACATGTCTGATATACTTCAACGTTGCCCTTTGCATGGTGGTCTCTTGCTCCATCGATGACACCTTCTTTCGTTCAATCTGTGTTGCGCACCGTGTCAGGCCACCATTTGAACAGAACGCCACGCATGCCATTGACGCCTCACGCCCACCCTCCCCCCACATGTGAACTATCCCCAACCCGTAAAACGCTTTAGTCCACTTGCCACTGCCTTGCCTTGCGTTGTTTGCATCACTCCCCGCTGTCTTGGCGAGATTGAGAACTTGTAGGCGCTCCTCGTCGCACCACAACTCAATCGAGGGCTCCAAAACCGTCCAGTCGATTGCCCGCACACCGACAACCCTCATTTGTGTTCTTGTTTTTCATGACAGAAGGTCCTCCCATCTCACCGGCGTCCCCCATTTCTCATTAGGCTTCCACTCCGATGATGCAGACATTCTAAACACAACAAAAAAAAGAGAAAAATGCAATTTAATTGAACAATCAGCGATGTGCTTTGTGTTGCTCGTATTGAACATATGATCGTCACTCATACTCCTTCCCTCGTCACGTCTACACAGATGTGTCTGAAACAGATCTCTTATCGGACGTTGACACGGGCATCTTATTAGGGACGGTCAGCGACAACCGTGCATTGAGAGCGTCTCGCTTAGGGATCCGCATACCTGTCTCGGATCGTTTGTTGCTGACCCATGCCCACACAACAGCGTCGAGGTCTTGCCATCCTTCGTCGGATTCAGTTTCAACCTTCCACGTCTTTGTCCATGTGTCTGCATAGAGCTTCGATAAGTCGCGATCCCTTCCACACGGTGTCCAGTACTTGACGCGGATACAACTATTATCCCGCTCCATAACACGCCCTATCCAAAATGTGCAGCCCTTTTCAACATACTCGTCGGGCGCGCGGAACACGACGAAGTTGTTCACGACGATAGAGTTATGCGGTTTGAACTCCGGTTTGGGAGCGTCTCTCTTGTAACTGACGAAGCAAGGTTTCCTCGGTGGCGAGTCGAGGACATGCGGCGCACCTAATGGGAGATCTTGTGTATCGGGCATGGAAGCTGGCCAGAAGGGACCTTCAAGGGGCACCGTACCGCTCTCCTCTTGCGATATTTTTTCAAACTTCTTCAGATGGTCGGTCCAGTAGTTCAAGCGTCTACAATTCATAGCTCTTGTGTGTTCGTCTTGTGTCTCCCAACAATTCATAGCTCTTGTGTGTTCGTCTTGTGTCTCCCTTTTAAACCAATAGATAGGGCCAGTGTCTGGCTCCCATTTTTTGTCGGTGCAGAACTCCTTGTACATCATGGCGGGGTTGTCCCCGTCCATGTAAAAACGAAAGAGGTGCGGCATGGCATGACCCTTGATTTTATGATCGATGTACGGATCTATGGCGGTTTTCCAGTCAGCAATTTCAGTGAGCAACGTGCAATCGACTTCCTTTTCGCAGGATGCTTTAAGGATATCGAAGAGCTCGTCCATGGTATATGCATCGCAACCGTTCAATTTTTTGGCAAACAAGTTGAACTTCGCATCTATGTCTGTGTGTGTGTGACCCACTATCATGAACCCCATTTCGATGACCTCAAATATCCGAAATTTGACAAGCATGGCCATGAAGGCGAACACATACTTGTTTTTGTTTTGT